TATTGCTGGCAGGCTAACTCCAATAAGCTTTAAATCCTCTTGGAGCTGACTGTGTTTATGAGGGTGTTGACAGTATCTAGAGAGTGGTGGAAAATATGCGTGGGATGGTCTGTAAACTTGTGTCCATTTCCCTCCTTTATTCTCCCAAAACATTAATGCGTCTTGGCAGTTGGCTTGAGCAAGGATTTACTTAATGCAAGTGATCTGTGCAATAACAAGGTGATGGATGAAGTTAGCTGAGCCTGCGAAACGTATGCTTTTTTAACTTCTCCCCACTTCTGAATCACACCTGGTAAACGAGGAGGTGTTGACTGTGCAGAGGGGAGGCTTTGCCAGTGCCTAGGCCCACTTTATGCTCTTCTGCCTTAGGGGACTTCCCTCTCTTCCTTTCAGCTTCAAGTATATTTGTCCCAAGTGCCAGGGAGACCACAGTGACAGCATTGCTTCTACCCCAGTATTTTAACTTACCTGATGGTCTTGAGCTTGCGTCCATCCGAAGTTCAAGAAACCCAAGGTGAAAGGATGTCCCAGCTCTCCACGCTGAAACTGTTTGGTTGCGTACCTGCAAGGATACAGTGATAACAACAGCATGAGCAAACCTCTCATGCACGTAACCTCCTGTGTTCATTTATCAGTTCATAAAATTCGCTGTGACATCCCCAAGTCATACGGATGTGGGGCTTCAATCGATAATCCTCAGCCTCTCTTTTTCTCGCACAGGTGCAGACAGCAGCGTCAGGGCCAGGTTTGCAGAAGACTGCCCTGGGCTGGGCTGCTCATCACCCTGATACGCAAGTGGAGGGTGTCATTGCCTCTTAAGCTTTGATGCAAAAGAGCACAAAAGACCCTTCAATTAGCTGCAGTATTTAAAGAAAATATTTGCTTTTTATAGATTTAAGGCCATAAAATCTCATTACATTTCAAGGATGCCTGTGCATGTGAACATCTCATCACCTAAAATTTCCAGTTTCAGTGTGCTCACAAGGCACGTGCCTCAGCCTCCCAGTAATCCTGGGAGGAACAACTGGCTGCTGCCCAAGCTATGGTGCTTCCAGTGTTCATGGCTCTCACCAAAACCCTCAGTTAGGCCTTGCATTTCCTATCCTAGCTTTAGTAGCAGGTCTTACCCTTCTTTCTGCTAAGGCCAGTCATCAGACCTGCTTCACAGATAAACACTTCCCAAACAGATTTCAAAATCTGTCTGCTAATTAAACAAATGTTTACCCCAAGCAATGTCTGAGAAAATTTAGCCAGGAATCTGCTGGAATCTGCTGAAGGGCACCATTACTGGCTGTTATATTGGTATCCCTTCCTAAAGCTCTGCTTCAAATGGACACTTTATAGCATATTGCATGGTACTTGAGAAACACAGAAGTCTTCACAGTGAAATGAAGGCACCAGAAGGATCCTTAATCACAGGCAGGAGTTGCTGCTGTTAAGTACAGTGATCCAGCTGCCCCAGTAGTACTCTGACTGCTGAATGAGCTCTAGCTATTCAAACAGTGAGTTATTTGTAGGCTAGACGGACCCCACTGAAGAATTTTATTATTGGTCATAAAAATTAAGTGATGTAAAGTACTGGCTGGAAAAAATTAAGAGCATTATTTCCTAATACGCTTCCTTTACTCTGTTACCAAAGCCAGAGTGTGACTTGTTTAGATAGCAAGAAAACGGGATCATTGGAAGTCTGTATGATACTAAAATATTTCTGTTGTTTAATCAATGTATGAAACAACATTAAATGGCAGTGGTAGCATTCACAAAGGCACTCTGCCCTGCTTTATATAAGCACAGCTTTTCTCTAGGAGTCTTGTGCGCGACGGTGCTCGGAGACTAGCCTCACTGTGGTCTCTTTCTTGGCATGCTGTCACTCGCAGGAGTTTTATCTCAAACAGAGATGATAAATTCATGGAGCTTGAACCATTTGGTATCCTAGATCTCATGGAAAGTCTGTGGGCTATATAACCCCCAGTTTCACAACTTCACCTTAAATTGCTGGAACAGATTGAGCTGCAGGTGGGAAGGGAAATTTGGGGGTTGATCTTGCTGGTATAGGATGGAGCAGGGCACTCTTGGATTGGATGCAGGAAGCAAAACCTCTTCCAAAAGCTTCGTAAGGCCCAGGCTGGGCTAGGAACTGTAGAGCAGTGGTGACTGTATTAGAAACTGTGATTTCCAAGATCTGTCAGCTTTGTGACCAGCTAGACTGAAAGGGGTAAGACATCTGGAGAATAATCTCTGCACAGTTCCTAAAACTGAATGAAATGAGAGCATAGCTGACCTGTAAAAGGTCCTGGCCACTCATCTTAAATTGGCTATCTTAAATTGGTCTTTTTTCTTGTACAATTCTCTCTCAGGCTGAGGTGCTGTGAAATTAGATCCTTTTTACATGCTATAAATATTTAACAGCATTAGAGCGTGTAGTTTCATATCAAACAGACAGCCTTATAAATACTTCAGAATTATAGATGCTGTCACGTTACATGGAAATGGTTTGATAGGATCTAGGAGAAGTATTTGGGTTTGACAGGGGAGGAAATGATGGTGTGAGAAGGAGTCAGCCTCATTTTTAACTGCTGGAGGAATCTGTACAAACAACCAAAAAAGTTTGTGCAGCTTCTGTTCTGGAGAGGCAATTTGGGCAAGTTTCCTCCCCCTCAGGAAGCAACAGAGTGGTTCCCACCCCGCTCTCTTCAAGAAATGAAAACAGTCACAGTCTTGAGAAAACACTGCAGACAAAACAGAACAATTTAGGAACCAATGTTTAGTCAGCAGATAGCCCCAAATCGGAAGCGACAACCTATTCAGTGTGGGATTATCATTATTAGAAAGGCAAGTGGCACTTCAGTGGGGGTTTAGATGCTCTTGAGCTGTTTTAGCTTAAGTCCAAGTACGACGATTCACCAACTAAGAGAATCTAAAATTTATTATTAGCATTTTTGCTTAAAAAAGAAAAAAAATCACAGCTGACCTCCCAGCACCCATAGGCTGAGCCTCGCTGAAATCAGGCTGTGTGTAAGCCGGTGACCCTGCCAGTAAGTGCGCTAAACAAGGGAGCTCAACAGAGCGCTTCAGAGAGTGAAGACTGCTCTAACTGACATCTGGGAGACTATTTTGGCTCTCGCTTTTGCCCACTAAGCTTCCCATGTGAACCCTGAAAGTCTTTTCTCTCGCTAGGAGGTTCTCAAAAGTCTTGTGGGGTCTGATTTCCTCTGCAGTCTTCTGTGCGCGTTTGAGGACTGGCCGCTCTAGGCCTGTTCCCATCCGTAAAAGGGAGATAAAGCAAAAGTTGAGAGAAATGTGTTAAAATGTGAAGAACAAATAACTGATGACTTGCGATAACATAAGTACTTATGTGGGAGGTAGGTTTTCTACCATAGCAGGCTGCACAATAAGTAATATAGGAGGCAAAGTCGTCTGTGTGTTCACGGTTCATCTGTCAGCAACGTAGGTGGATTCTCTGCACTTAGGATAATGTAATGGCAAAACTAATGTTTTTGGTATATGTTCTGTAGCTTGTAAAAATTTGGAATGGGTAACTTGTTAAGGGACATTACCTTCGAACAACATTACAGAGCATCCAAACATCTAGAGTTTTAGTATTCTATGATAGCTTCATAAAATATCATAGTTTACTTCCTACTTCTAAAGTTGATTATAGCAGTACGAGGTAATATGTTTTATATCTGTGATGTATTCTGATAATTAAAGCACAGTTAAAATGTTCAGTAGAACGTGATGTCCAACGCAGCAGATAACGCTTCAAAGGAATGTGGGTCAGCTCCTACATCAGCAATATTTCAGTTTATTTTCCTGAGATGCAGAAAATGCACAGGAGGTGTGTGTACATCTTGGAGACAAATTTTCTGTGAAGTCGGTGAGAAGTTGAGAGCTGTAGCTGAACTGGGAGTAGGGCCCATTTTTGATGCAGAAATTTCTGTACTGTCCTTGGAAGTCGTCCCCTAACTGCTGGTTACTACTAGTCATCCTGGTATATGTGCCTGAATCCAGCTTCATCCCTTTCCAGCAAAAAAGAGGTCTCGGGTCAGGTATGAAATTTGGTGAAGATCCACGCAAGTTTTAGTGAATCAGCGTTTTTCCAAAGGAAAATGATGTTTTACTGACGAGTTTTTACCTGGTGGTACCGCAGGTAGGGGCGGTTGCTGCGATTCTCCCTGGAAGCCTGCTCAGGTTTTTTCAGGGATTCAAAAAGGAGGATGTGCTTTGGCATCTAATGGCAAAATTCTGCTTCAGTCCTTTCAGATGTGCAACACCTCAGTTTTTACTTGATTTGCTCTTTTAAGTTAGCCCAGCCAAACGGTACAAGCAGCCTCCTTTTCTGTGCCTCAGGCTGGTTCTTCCCCTGCCGGCTAAGCGCAGCGGCTGGCCGGCCCAGGACCGGGCTGCTGACGCGGAGGGCTGAATGGGGCCGGGCACATTCTGAGATGCCGAGCAGGACTGAGGGACGGACTTTGTAAAACCATTGCTGCCTTTTCCCCGGGTAGCCCACGGAGCCCCGGCTGCCGGCAGGCCAGTGCGTCACGGGGAACAGCTCTGGAACGGCAGCAGGTCTTCCAAGTGCTGCAAACGGAAAGGCAGCTACTTTCTTCTTGATTTAAATTTTATCAGTGGTGACCATTTATGTTTCTGCAGTCAGTCGGAAGGACACCGTTCAACAGCCACTGTGCAAACAGTCTTGTTTACTGGCTTAGGGAAAGGCGTGCTAGAGGTCTGAACACCTCTGGGGCCTTCCTGAAGCCTTGTCGTTTAGTGTCAGCAATGCTACTTGGCATGTTCCAGCAATCGTCAGAATTGCTGTCAAACACCACAGGTAAAGAGTTTCAGCTTTATATTATAGTGCAGGACGGTTATTAATGTCCTCTCTCTTTAGAAACTGTTAAGCAGCAGGGACCTGGATTTAATAGGAAAGTAGGTTTTTAGGAGTCTGTTTCTTGGCTAATTGCAGCTCTCACATGTCACTCTTGTTTTCCCTCTACCAGGGTGAATCAACTTGTGATGCCGCCGGCCTCTGTGAAAGTCTGAGACGGTGAGTGACCCAAAACAGCAGCTGCTGTCTCTCCCTGGGGTCGTGCTGGGGATGCAGATGCGGCAGCAGGGGAGGAGGTTCTCGTTTCTGCCACTCCGCTTGCTGGAATACCTTCCTTCACTGCAGGGCCACATGCTCGTCCTTGTGCCATTGCTTGCCAGCAAAGGCAGAAACATGAGGCTCCCGTGTCTCAGTGCTTCACAGCGAGGGTACGGGCACCCCTCTGGGAAGGAGGGCCTGGACACGATTCTTTAGGCTGCAGGTTGGTGTCAGGTTAAATCAACGCGTTTCTTGGCTGTCAGTGCTGCAGCCCTCTTCTTTTTGAGCTAGCAATATTGTGCAGGCACGTGTAGAGATATTTTATTTTTCAGTTGGGCAAGTATTCAGCCTGATGAGCTCTCCACTCACTCCCCAGCTGACCCATGTGAGGGGAGAAGCAAGCAAACCAGGGGAATGATGGACATGATGCACAGGACAGCTGAAGCTGATGTGGAACCATATCCTGAGAAATCCACTGTAATGTTATTGCCTTGAATGCTGGAGGGCAGGGAGAGAAAACCATGCAAGAGGGGATAGGGTTAAAGCCACATTAACTGTCTGTACAAATATATATAACAGCTTTCCCCAATTTCAAGCTCCCCTGGCTGCTGCAAAATTCCTATATCAAATCATTACTTTTCTTGTCAAGTGGAAAGGGGTTAAGCTTACACAGCCAGGCTGCTGCACCTTTGCTGCCCTGTACCTAAGCAGGAACAACTCAAGAACAGGGAAACCAGGGGTCAAGCGTCCTTTGTTGCACTGAGTTTCCTCCAGAAACATGGTGTCCCCTTCTTTGAGTGGATAAGCCCATGTAACCCCTGTCAACCCCTATCAACTTGAACAGCAGCAGGTACGACTGTCCAAAGCCAGAATTTAGGCTGCACCTGAAAGTATCGTGCATACATAAAACCTGCTGCTGCTTTGCTCTTGGCCCAACATCTGCTCTCTAGCACATGACCATTCCTGAAATACTCCAACCTGAAACCTTTCTGCTGAAAAATGCTTTCTGACAGTGCAAGAACTTGTGCATGTTGTTGCTAGGATTGTCACCGCTGCAACCCTTGATCCGGAGTGACAGATCTGAGGCCTTTGCAGTGAGCCAGAGGGAGAGCCCTTCTCCTGCCGCCCGTTCTCCTCCCTTGTGTTCATGCTATTTTTATCACTAGCCAACAATTGCAGCACTGCAGCTCAGAGCTGCAACAATTGATAAACACTTCCCAGCATGTCAGCGTAGCCAAAATTAATTGAAGCAAGTTTTTGAAGAGGAGATTTCTTTCCCATAAATTAAATGCATTGAAAGACTAATCATAAAATCAGAATTCAATAACACACTTAAGAATGGCATTTAGGAGGAAGTGATTTAATGCAATCTCTAGTACAGCAGATGTGTTATTTCCACAGAGGGGAATATATTTTGATATAGGTTAAGGATATAATAGGCTAGCCTGTACCTTGCAGTCCCTGGGCTGGATGTATACTTGCACACTGTCAGTTATCAGCAGTTTTTAGACAAAGTTTTTAAAAAAAAAAAAAAGCCTCAAAAAGCCTGGGAGAATATATTAGATGATGTTGCTGAGATTCACCTTATAATTGAACACTTAGGTCCTGTGCCCATGTAGGTTTTTTCACTCTACTTTTTTCTCTTTTGGTCCGGTTTTACACCAGTTGAGAGAAACCAGGCCAGCCATTTAGGGAATTTCTCCATACTCCAGCAATCACTGATTTTTAAGGTCAGGGACAGTTTCCTGAATAACATGGAGCACAGAACCTCTCACAGGATATCCTGCAGTGAGAGAACCGATTATCCACATAATCGAGGAAAGCTGCTGGCCCCTTAGATACTCCGCAGCACATGCAGTTTTGAAAAATGACAATTTGAGAAGGCAGGCGGGAGGGAAAGCACTACTGGGGTCGTGGCTGTTGCCACATCTTTACATGGAATTTGCATCATTTGCAAACACAGAGAGACCTTTTCTGGTAATGGAGATACCATTTTCCTGTCCCTGCTAATTTTTAATATGATATTTTTCCAGTACAATTTAGATTTCCTGATAACATTTCATACAGTTTCTTGGTAATTTGACGTGTCTCTAGGGACCTTTGAGTTTGGTGACTAATCTGAAGACAGTCACTGGAAAAGCATCTTTCTTGGTTATCCTCCAGTGAAACAGCACATTCAGAGGGGCTGCAGAAAAATCTAAGAGAGTAAATAGTTTTGCAGCTGGAAAAAACCCTGTTTTCTCTTCTCTGCTTGCTAAGAGCTACTAGCAAGTAATAGCAAATGTTTCAGTTAGCTCCTAAGGCTGACTAAGACTACAGTTTGAGCATCTATTTCAGTGGAATGACTAAAAGCAGCCTCTTTTCTTTGGTGAACTGAGGGTGTTAAAAACAGTCTTCCAAAAATTAATGCTGTTAGTCCCTAAGTTGTTTCAACCCACACCACGAACAGTTGTACCTATACAAATGACATAAACAAGACATGACTGACACCCTTAAACACTGTGGGCAGCAGCCTAAACCTCATACTGGATCAGCAATTTTGGCAGATTTTTTTTTCCTGGTCACATCATCTTTAGGTTTCCTGCTCCAAAAGCCAACAGGATTATGGTCATCCCAAATTGCTGTCTCCACACCACTCAATCTGTGACATCCTCCAGCTTGCACGGAGGCAAGGGGTGGGGGGGGGTCTCTTAGCCTGGCCTTTGCCACAAAGCCTGGGTGCATGCTGCCCCTATCACCAATCAATTCCTGGGACTGCCCTGTTAACCACCTTTTTCTCTTCCTGTTTGCAGTTCCCAATAAAGGAAACCACATGTGGACTCCTGCTCCCACACCACCGATCTCAAGCTTGAAGCCCTTCCGTACTGGAAACCGGTGGACCCTCCAGCTCCATGCCATCCTGGAAGGGTTATCCAGGGCCAACCCAATCACGCCGCTCCAGCCTGCGGGATCAGGTGCCAGGAGATGAGCGGGGCAGCCTGGAACGCAATGCTGCTTGAGCGTATGGACGTTCACAGGTTCCTCTGAGCATCGAAAACAACTGTCTGCTGGACCCACGATGTGCTACCCGAGTGAGTGACTGTAGATTGTGTATACGGTTTTAGTTGTAGCCAATGAAGTACGCATTATTTATAGGGCAACTTCCGTCCTATTGAATGCTGCTGTTCTGCCAGCAGTCCCGCACCCAGAGACTGCACTAGTTGGGGACCTTTCTGTACATCACCTTTTCTTTAACACTGAAGGTTCAAGTCAGATTATTTTTTTTAATTTAAACATGTCGTAAGATGCTTTATCTCTACTGAAGATATTAGATATCAGATATCTATCTACATATATATATATTTAGATAAACAATTTTTATTTAAACATTGGAAATCTGGAGCTGCCTGTGCAACCACATCAGACATGAGTATGTCTACAATCTCCTCATCTCAGCGCCCCGGTATCGGGCACTGTAGGAAGGCTTCTAGGGGATGACAACTTGTCCCTTGAGGCTGAGCATTTGTTACAGAAAGACCTAGAAGGACCTTGGACAGAAATACCTAGGGGCTCCAGCATTTGCTCAATATACTAAATTCAGCCTTGCCTGGGAGGTTCATAGGTTTTTAAAATACCAAAATCCATGCGGCTGAATTGCTTTACCTAGGGCCTGGTATTGTAATACTGCTGTGCCAGTGATGACATGCTTTGTTTACATGCATATCATGTTACCCGTATTGTACATGCTAATTCTCCCTCCGTCAGTATTTTCAAAGCAGGTGGCTGATATTCTACAGTTCCCTTGGGAACAACGGTTAGCTTTTAATGCACACATGTGTTTTAATGCATATGCACTGGGGTGTCTGTTGTAGTCACTTTTATCTTAATGAAGATGCACTTGAGATTTGCTATGTGAAGCCAATGTCTGAACTCCTTTAGATTCTCAAACGCAGAGGAGTAAGGTGCCTCTGTAAAGTGGTCAGTCTGCCATTTCACAGAAGAGTCTTGTTTCCTGCACTTGACCTTCGTAAGCCAAATTTATACTATGTCAGCTTGAAGCTGTGACAGTCTGGGGAAAGAAGGAGCGCATGAGCCCTGGAGAAAGAGCCAGGCTTCCAGAAGAAGGGCACTGGGTCAGTGATCCCCCAGCCCCTTGTTTCTCCCCTCTCGTTTGGCACACACCTCTAATAGGTGAACGTACTTCACTCTTGTGCTCATGTTTAACAAAGTGGCCATAGCTGGGGGGCAAGTAGGACTAAATCAGCAAAGGAAATGCCAAACCAAGACTGCATAGGATGCAAGTAAGTCTGGAAGCTGGCTGTCCTGAACGTGGCATGAATTTGTTGACAAAGGGAAGGTACTGTTAGTAAATCTCCCATTCACTTCCAGGATGTGCAGTGATCTACAGTTGTAGTAGTAGAGATGGTGAGTAATTCCAGTTACCAGCAGACTGGTCAGCACTCACCGCAAGAGCCAATCTCTGCCGAGGTAGATGTGTTTGAACAGTGGCTCCTATAAAACGTAAATGTTGCCTCCTTATGAAACTCAATAGGACTCTTCTGCAAAGGCTGCTCTTCACCTAAAATCCCTTAACAATGGCTTTAAGGTTTGGCTAAACAACTAGAGCCAGAAATTTTCCTCGAGCTTCTGGGTATCCTCTGGAGAACAGCAAATGCTTGCTAGAAATAATAAAGCAAAGCAAATCTAAAACAATGCTTCATTTCCCACCTCGTGCCACTATTTACATTGGTAGGGGAAATGCCGACTCTGTAGTCCAGCAGCCAAACGCCTGGCTTTAAAGGCATGTGGATTTCTGATTCCCAGTTTAGAAGTTAAGCTGTATAAAAAGAAACAGAAGGCAAGCCAGCAATTAGTCACTTCATCTCAGAGACCAAAGGAAGACTAGCCACATTTCCTAAATTGTTTTTCTGCTAGGCTGTCTTTCAGCAGTAGTTTTTATCAGTAGCATTTACC